GTTAAACTGGAAAGGGTTCTCAGGGCCTGCCAGGGGCTGCCCAGGGCAGTGCGGGAGTCCCCATCCCTGCAGGGGTTCCCAAACCGTGTGGATGTGGCATTGGGGACGTGGTCTGGGGGCTGTGGTGGGGCTGGGTTAAGGTTGAACTCACTGATCTCAAAGCTCTTTCCCAACCCAATTGACTCAGTGTTTGCTAAAAACGTGCATTTCTTTTAAACCCCAGGTCGCTTCAGCTCTCCACACTAGCCGTGTATCACGAGGTACCGGCTCTGCCCAGCTCCAGGTGCCCTGTCCCCCTCTGATGTCACCTGAGGGTCCATCTCCCCAAAGCCCCCTGATTTGAACCCGTTCAAGTGACGCTGCGGCCCTGCCCGGCCGGGAGCCATGGCCATGGAGGACGTGGAGTCGCGCTTCCTGCACCTCCTGCAGCCCATCCGAGACCTCACCAAGAACTGGGAGGTGGATGTGGCCACGCAGCTCGGGGAGTACCTGGAGGAGGTGAGGGGGGCCCTGTCTGTGCCCCAAACTCTCTCTTGTTCCCCTTAGTAGATCAGACAGGTTCTGCTGCCCCTCTGCTCTGCCCTGCTCACACCACAGCTGCAATCTTGTGTCCAGTGCTGGGCCCTCAGCTCCAGAAGGACAGGAACTGCTTGAAAGAGTCCAGCAGGGCCACACAGATGAGGTGTGGATCCGGCAGCCATGGTGACACAGTGGCCTTGCCATGTTTCCTCACCATACAAGCGCTATCACTTGGAGAAGTGACCACTGTGGAGCATCTCCTGGTGAGGAGCGGCTGAGGAAGCTGGGGCTCTTGAGCTTGGAGCAGAGGAGCCTGAGGGGTGCCCTCATTCCTGGGGATCCATTGGGAAAGGGCAGTGTCAGGAGGAAGGAGCCAGGCTCTGCTCTGGGATGGCCAATGCCAGGACAAGGGGCAATGGTCCCAAGCTGGAGCACAGGAGGTTCAAGCTGAAGATGAGGCCAAAGTTTGTGAGTGTGAGGGTGCAGAGCATGGCCCAGGCTGCCCAGAGAGGTTGTGGAGTCTCCTTGTGTGGAGACCCCCAAAGCCCTGAGGTGTTCCTGTGTGACTGCTCTGGTGATCCTGCTCTGGCAGGGGTTGCACTGGGGGAGCTCTCCAGGTCCCTTCCAACTCCTGACATCCTGGGATTCTGTGATTCCACCTCCGTTTTCCTGTGTTTCACAGCTGGAGCAGGTCTGCGTCTCCTTCGACAACGGCAAAACCACCATGAACTTCATCGAAGCGGCTCTGGTGATCCAGGGCTCTGCCTGTGTCTACAGCAGGAAGGTGAGGTGACCGCTGCTGCCCCATGGCTGAGCTCTGCTGGGGCTGCTCCAGGGCTTTAAACCTTTTAATTTTAATTATAACTAATTGAGATGGGGGGATGTAACTTTATAAATCTTATAATTAATCTATGTGGGGTTGGCAGCCTAGGAAACAGATATTTGCTGCTCAGCTCTTGAGGGTTGTCATGGTCTAGGGCTGGGCTGGGCACTCAACCCTGGGCAGACGCTCGCTGTGAACCCCTCTGCCCTCCCCAGAAGGGAAGAGGAAAGAGAAGAAGGGAGAGAGACTGAGAAAACCAACAGATTGAATGAAACAATAACAGTGATACTGCAGGATAGTGATGGACATAGGAAAGAATGGAATAGACACAGACATGTACAGATAGAGATACAAAACCAATCTAAAATCCTCCCCCAGTGACGATGACGTCCCCAGAGGCTCTGGGAGCACTGGCAAAGTCCCAGTGTGGAGCCAGCAGCAGTGGGAGCTGCTGCAGGAGCACAGGGCTGAGGATGAGAGGCAGGCGAAGCAGCAGGGTCTGCTGGGCCTTGGGCCATTGCAGGGGTGGAGAGGGCAGGAAGGGTCCAAGGTGGAAGGGTCAGACCCTGGGGATCCCTGGGCTTTGCACTGAGTGTGGGTGTGTGGGATGCAATCCCTGGTTGGGCAGGGTTGGGTCTGCTCCTCCTGTAGGTGCAGCCACGGCAGCCATGGTGAGACAGTGGCCTTGCCATGTTTCCATCACATCCCAGCACTATCACTTGTAGCAGTGAGCACTGCTGTTAAACCATGCTGCTGGTTCCAGCCCCTGAGAAGAGACTGAGCTGGAAAGTGAAATCACTGCATAGCAAACCAGTTCTGTTGAGCTCAGAGCAGGACAAAGGTGGACCACAAAAACCTCTCCTTCCCCAAATTTGGCCTCAGAATGGCCCAGACAGTGAAGGGAAAAATGGGATCATTGAGAAGCCCAACTCGTGGTGTTTGGGGGTGAAAAGGGGGCGCTGCCTCGCCCCAGGGTGGCTGTTTGGGAGCTGCTTCCCCTCCTCACGACCCCGCTGCTGTGTTGCAGGTGGAGTACCTGTACGCGCTGGTCTACCAGACCCTGGACCTCATCTCCAACAAGAAGTGAGTGGAGACCCCCTGAAATGGGGAGGGGGCTTGGCTGGGGGCTGGGGATGTTGTCTTCACCCCAAACGAGCCCCAAATCAACCCCAAACAGCACCGAAACAGCCCCAACCCAACCTAAAATAGCCCCAAATGAACCCAAACCAGCCCCAAATGAACCCAAACGAATCTAAACCAGCTTCAACCCAACCAAAACCAGCCCCAAACAGACCCAAACTGGCCCCAGATTAACCCAAAACAGCCCCAAATTGACCCAAACCAGCCCAAACACGACCCGAACCGGCCCCAGATGAACCCAAAGCGGCTCCAACCCGACCCAAAACATCCCCAAACCAGCCTCAAATTGACCCAAACCATCCCACATCGACCCAAAACAGCCCCAACCTGACCCAAACCAGCCCCAAAGCAGCCCCAAATTGACCCAACCCAGCCCAAACACGACCCAAAGCAGCCCCAACCCAACCAAAAACAGCCCCAGATGAACAAAAACAGCCCCAACACGACTCAAAACAGCCCCAAACGAGCCTCAAATCGACCCAAAGCAGCCCCAACCCAACCAAAAATTGTCCCAAATTGACCCAAATTGTCCCAAACCGGCCCGAAATTGTCCCAAACCAGCCCAAACACGACCCAAATCAGCCCCAAATGGACTCCAAAAGCCCCAAACTGCCCCAAATTGACCCAAACCAGCCCAAACATGACCCAAAGCAGCCCCAACCCAACCAAAAACAGCCCCAAATGGACCCCAAACAGCCCCAAACCGCCCCAGATCAACCCAAACCAGCTCCAACTCAACCCCAAACAACCCCAAATGAACCCAAACCAGCCCCAACCCAACCAAAAACAGCCCCAAATTGACCCCAAACCGCCCCAAATTGACCCAAACCAGCCCCAAATCAACCCCAAACAATCCCAAATTGACCCAAAGCAGCCCTGAATCGACCCAAACCAGCCCCAACCCAACCAAAACCAGCCCCAAATGGACCCCAAACCGCCCCAAATTGACCCCAAACTGCGCCACATCAACCC